AATGGACTTCATATTTGTTTTGGTGGGGCCATAAATCCTAGCAAATACTTATAGATTTATATAAAATTGATTCTGATTGGTTATCTTAGCTGTATGGTAGCAATACATTTGATTGCCTGAAATTCTATTGTTGAAGAGTCTTAATTATCAATGTCACAGTATCTTTCAAGGTTGGGGTTAGGAAACAGCGAGTTGTAGCAGCTGTTCAAAAGCTTTATTATTGCAATGGATCACATTTATTAAAGCCTCATAAAGTTACAAACAGTTGTAATAAAAGAACAGTTCCAACAATGTGAAGTGGTCCATTACACGTTGAGTATGACAACTTTATTATTACTATTACAATTATTAAAGAGAAATATATTGCACACGAAACCAGAAGCAAAGGACCATAACAGACCAACATATCATTGCAGCAACATAATCTTCCCTAAAATGCAAATAATTACATAGGACAATTCCATAAATGAGACAGTGAGTCACAATTACCAGGTAATATCTAGAAACGTGCTTTTCAATGAAACAAACTATTATTAGAGTAAAATAAGGAAACATACAGAAATTTGGGTTTTAAACTTCATTTGTACTGGACCCCAACGTCTGGCATGTATCAGGCCCTCAGAGGCAGCTATCATTCGAAACCATAAAGCAGTAACATTATAAACACAATAATAAAACAATTGCTGCTGCAGTATTAGATTGTAAGGGCCTTTGAAATAGCTATAAATAAAGGCCCTCTTCGAAACACTTAAAAGCCATCAGTGAATGTCGCTGACTTTCCACCTGATGGAAGAGGTTCCCCAGAGTGGATGTCACAACTGAGGAGGGTCCTGCCTCTCATAGCTTTCAGCTTTGTTTTCAAAGGCTGAGGCCCTTGGAGAAGGGTCTCATAAATTTACCCAAGCACACCAGGCGACTCATATGGGAGGAGATGACCTTTGAAATATCTGGTCCTGGGACATACAGTGGTACCTCAGGTTACAGACGCTTCAGGTTACAGACTCCGCTAACCCAGAAATAGTACCTCGGGTTAAGAACTTTGCTTCAGGATGAGAACAGAAATCGTGTTTCGGCGGTGCGGCAGCAGCAGGAGGCTCCATTAGCTAAAGTGGTGCTTCAGGTTAAGAACGGACCTCCGGAATGAATTAAGTACTTAACCTGAGGTACCACTGTAGAAGGAATAGCTAACCTTCAGGGGGTTTTTGAGGGCTGCATTGAATCATAGTCAACCCTCCTGGGGACATGTGTTAAAAATAAGTGGGACCAAACTGTAAAAAATGGTATGTTGAGAATTCAAGGCTGCCTTCCAAAACCCTCTCCCATCATCTATTATACACTATTTTAAATCATTTTAAATCATTCATTATTAAATTCTCTTAAGACGAGCATGACCAAACTTGGCCCTCCAGCTGTTTTGGGACTACAACTCCCATCATCCCTAGCTGACAGGACCAGTGGTCAGGGATGATGGGAACTGTAGTCCCAAAACAGCTGGAGGGCCAAGTTTGGCCATGCCTGATTAAGAAAATAATAATATAAATTTAGAAAAATCAAAGGACAGATTTGGGAGAGGTGTCTTGGGGGTACAAAAACAGTTAGAGATCACAGCTGGGGACCTATGGAACCAATAAATAATTTCATTTTCTTAAAAATGTAAAATGTTTCTAATTTGTAAAAAAATGAACAAAACCGAGGTCCTTGAGAAGGCAAAAAACAACAAATTGAATTGCATTGGAAAACGCAATGTCTTTTGATGGCCTAGTGTCCCTCAGGCTGTCTGACGCAAAGCAATGCACTTCCTTCTTTATGGAAGCATTCAAACACTGGCAAAACTAGTGATAGAAATTTCAGATGTTATCAATAGACTTGATAGATAACTCTGGGCAGCCCTTCATCCAGAGAACAGGATATTCAATAAAAAATCAGCTATTTCTTAGAGACATAGTTCACAATGACACACATAAATGAAACTTCAAGTTACATATTATAATTGCATGCATGGTCTTGCAAGAAAGCCACTTCATATTTCACAGAAATTGAAGTTGTTTTTTTAAAACCTAATACACAAAAACTTCCCACTGGTCTTAACAATCTCTCCAGCCGTGCAATTTTAAAAGATCTGGAAACAAAACTGATTACTACACATTAAGCATCTACTATATTTTTTTGGAAATGATTTGTCTGTCTGTCCAACTGTTCTCTGTTGGTTTGGATGCTTATCATTGCCAAACTCAGCACAAGGTTTCCTGAGATGGGGGTAGCAGTCATCAACATTTGGAAACTGGACACCATTTTGAATCAAGATAGAGGACTGAAATATAATTCAAACATGACTGACTTTTTGCCTTGGGTTTGATTGTTTCTCTAGATATTGTCACCAAACTTGGCATGAAAGGTGTGAGCAGTAGTCTCCATCAATGTTTGGTGCCAGGCAACAAATTAAATCAAAATGGTGGACCAAAATATGACTTTGCCATAACATCACCATTTTGAGGGGTGGGGTCCAAACTCACAAATTACACTATTCACTTAAAAATCACAATTTTGGGATACTACAAATTTCCAGGCATGGCTAGGTACTCCCCACTAGCAGCATATAATTTAGCCTGAGTGAGTAGAACATGTATATGATTGCTACTTTTTATCCTCCTACTTAAGTCTGCATGTGGAGGCTGCATACAGCAAAATTATTATTTCCTTGAGAACAGCATGTATATATTATCTAGGTCTTTACCACAGCATAATTGTCTATGTTTTTTTTCTAGCTACAATTGAGAATTGGTGTGTGTGTGTGTGTGTGTGTGTGTGTGTGTGTGTGTGTGTAATGGAGCTCACTGAAAAATCACTGTTGTTTTTGTCTGTTTGTTTGAGAACAGATATTCATTGTGTCCCTTTTTAACTTTTCTCTCCATTTAACCACATACATGTTTCACTCCCCCCCACCCCGAAAGTCTATAAAAAAGAATAGGGTAGGAATACAAAGTTTCATATCAGAAATGAACTAACATCAGTATGTTGGCTAAATTATATGTTGTTGTTTTTTCTGGACTTCCTGTAATATCATCCTTATGGAACTTCTGAGCAGAGGTCAAGTTATTGCAGCTCTCAAGTCTTTATGGGTTTTATTATTTTTTGCAGACTTTTATAATAATAGGCTATGAGGTAACTAGTCTTCCAAAGCCTGCAGCACCTTTTTTCTCTTTTTGTTGTTCTAATAATAATAATAACATAGCCTCGGGCTTTTTAAAATAGTTTGAACGCTCTAAAAATATGCATGCATCTTCAAAACTTATCTTGTCTTACATGAGGTCCTGCCAAGTTGTCGTCCCATTTTTAAGAAATATGAACTATGCATATGGAACCAAATTAACCTCTGGCACTTCTCCACTATGTAGGAGTATATTCTGCAAGTGAAATAATATTATAAACGAAGTGCATTTTCAGGATGGTTATTCCGAAACCTGAAGTAGCACCTGTACCTAAAAAAGAAATACAGCTCTAAATTATGTGTTAATTTAGTATTCATATTCATGTGTAGAATTGTGTTTGCCACTATTGTATAAGCATCTCTGTGACGACTATCTGTGCTTTCGTGTTGAAAATAATAATAATAAAAGTGGGGGGGGTGAGAAACGAAAGTGTTTTTTCCCCAGTAGTTATTCTATAACCTCCCTGCCACTGAAAAGTAGCATCAGCACCTGATTTATCCTAGGTGACTGCTGACTGGGAGTTACTGCTCATATGAGGCTATTCCTGTTATAACTCCTGTGAAAACAGGACATTCAATCCAACTAACGGCCAAACTGCATGTTATGATAGTCACACAGTTTGCCCTTAAGTGGAGGATTTTCCTCCCCCAACTTGTATCTGCAATGGGTCTGATCTGGACTAGCAATCCTCCCCCTTCCCACTCGCAGGTGCTAACACACACATGCAAACGCAAGTGCAGTTATTCTGTGGTGTTTAAAATATTTTATTTTGTCACTGTCATCATGTATTTGAAGTGGACAATCTCAGGTCTAGGGACCCAATGTGGCCCTCCAGACTTCTCTTACTGGCCCATGGGATGCTTCCTTAGCCATAAACACACCCTTTCTTCCCAGGACACAATCCTCACCGGTTTGCTTTACACCTTCCTTGAGTGTTTTGTCTGGCTGGAATATGACCTTCAATGACTCTTAAGTGGCCTGGATGGAGGATAAACAGCTGTTTTAGAATGTGAACAATCAGATTATTCCTTAGGGTGGGAATGATCATATATGCAAATATAGGGTGGGGGACACCTGTCTTGACAGCAAGTACATGTGAAAAGGATCTAGGGATCTTAGTAGACCAAAACTAATATGAGGGCAAACTTAACATGCATCAATAGTATGATGCAGCAGCAGAAAAAGCTAATGCTATTCTAGTGTCCAGAGTAAGAGAAGTAATATTTTGCCTTGGTCACACTTCACCTGGAGTCCTGCGTCCAGTTCTGGACACCACAGTTCAAGAAGGATATTGACAAGCATGCCGATGAGGGTGACCAAGACAATAAAGGGTTTGGAAACCAAGCCTTATGGGGAGGCATGGACAGGTAAGCCGAGGCCGTAACTCTCTCTAGGCAGGCAGCACCAGGTGCCTAATCCTTGCTTGCCTGTCTCTGGCATGCTGGGGAGTCGTGCTGAGTGGAGGAGGGACCCTTCAACACACACACACACACACACACCCCATCTGAAATATACTCGGAGTCGGGTGTGAATTTCATGCTCTTTATTCAGCTCGTAGTAACGGACGTTTCTCTCCTTCGTGGCGTGCAAAAGATGAAACATGAATGCAAACAAGCGCTTAGCCAGGCACCAACTCTGCGAAGCAACAGGAGCGGCCTATTAAGGCGACTAAGATGGTCTCACCAACCCCCCTCGTGGAACTCTCGACGATGGTTCCCCCTCTAGCTCTCCAGTGCTGTTCTGATGAGAGGACGGAGGGGCCCCGCAACCGCCGCTCGGAGAGTAGGGGTGGTCTGGAGTGACAAAGAGGAACCGCGCGGCGCACCCAGAAGGCGGCACTTGCCACCAGTGGCCGCTCCGCGCAAGACTTTTACGCGCGCCACAGTCTCCGCCCTTCGCGGGCTACTGCGCGTGCGGCCGATCCGCCGGGTGGTCACGGGATGTGGGGCTGACAGGGGAGCGACTCAGTGGGGCTGGCGGAGCCATGGGGCGCGGGAGCCGCCCGAGGGGACCTTTCTTGCTGCCTCTGCTGCTGCTGGCGGCGGTGGCGAGCGGCGAGGCGCCCTCGCTGCCTCTGGTCCTCAACACCTGGCCCTTTAGGAAAGCCGCCGAAGCAGGTGCTGTCTCGCTTCCTCCAGGGCTTCCGTGGTTGCGCAGAGGAGAGGCTCGAGCGGGCGGGGAGGAACCCCTCGCCCCGTCCTAGGTTTGCCCCAAACTTTGTTTGGGCTCCCCCCACCCCGCACCCCACTTTCTAGATTCATGACCCAGCCCGGGTATCAGCGCCACATGGGCAAATCTGCAACGATCCTTGCAGGCGGTTGTGTGCGTGCTGCATGCTGGCATCTGTGGGCTGGGATAACATCGCACGCTGGCATTAGATGTCTCGAGCAGGATGTGTTGAGCCTTCCTAAAGTCAGGCGTTGAGGAGAAACATAAGAGCAGAGCAGTCGCTTTTTCGGAGCCCAGGCACTCAGACCACTTGGGGCTAGTGAAGCAGTAAGGAGGACCCCCTGCTTGGAGGGTGGGGGAGGAATTCAAGCTAACCAGATTTGGGCTGGTTGGAGAGAGAGATTTCACCTTCAGCAGTGTCCTGCCAGACCCTGGGATCCAATTGTTCTCTCCTCCCCGCTCCCTTCCCCTTTTTCTTATTTACGGGAGCCACTATCTCAGTCCCAAAAATCTGTCTGTGGGGAGAGGAGTGGGAAAGGCACTCTGTGCATGTTCAACAGTGCTCTTTTTTAAACAAGACATAATGTTTGCATTGAAATACGAGAAAGGGTGGTGACAGTTTAAGCCTGGTCAGATGAACTAGCCGTCCACACTGCTACTGTTAAACTTCCTTGGCTTTTCTCTGCTACTTTCCTCTTCCTTGTTTGGTGTGGGACATTTTACTTTCTGGTTTAGCGAGACATAATCTACATTACTTAGTGCACGTTAGTCACCTTCTTAGTGTAGCACTGTTACAGGCAGGGCACTTCCCCCTTCCATTTCAGTGTAGGTCTTTTGGTGAAGGGGTTCTGATCCACAGTAATGTGGCAGAGGGGCTCTTAGCATGGCATTTTATTAACACTGGAAACACTGGTGTGCTGCTGTGTCTGCAGAAGTTCAGCTTGTGTTGTGTTCTGTATTAGCTACATAATTTGGTCTACTAGGCCACAGCAACATCTTGTGGCCAGTTGTGCAACATAGATTTCTGCTGGCAGCTCTTGTGGTGGGTGTCTTCACTGGATTCATAACAGCAACATCAGACAGTGCACAGATATGATTTTACACAGTGTGTAAAAAGGAGCGTACTCACTTCTTCTAGTGAGTGTGCATGCATCTGGGAAAAGATTAATGAGTCCTCTCCCTTGCCCAATATATCCATAAAGTTTGTGCTAAAGTCCATCTTGAGGAAATTCTTGCACCATAAGTGACATGCCTGGCTTGTGAAGGAAGCATATGGAGCAACATTAAATGGTTTTAAACCCCTCAGTGAAATGCCATACAAATGGTTTAAAAATATTTTTTCCCTTTAACTAGCACATTGTTGCCATATAGTGAGGGTTATCCCATCTCCACCCAGCCCTCCACCCCCAGTCCATTCCTGTTTTGCTGCAACTTGATGCAGACATGTAGCCAGGAAAACTTTCCCCGCCATTTATCACCATGCCAGAAAAAGCTTCCCCACTTAAAAGAGCAGGGCCAGGTTTTTTATTATAAAAAAATGGAAGTTATCTACCCTTGTGCTGCTTTGCTTTTACTTCTAAACATAATTGGCTCATTGGAGACTCTGGGCTTGAAGAAAAAGAAATTAGAATGAACTCAACATTTGTCACATCAGACAAATACGCCATTTTTAATCTATAGCTTGCTTGCCAACTGTGGCTGATGCCAGATTGGCAGGGCAGGGGGAGAATACAATGAGAAGCAGACAGTAGACAATTAATGTCTAGGAATCCCAGGTTTAAGAGTTTTGCCACTGATGCTGCATTCCCTGAACATGATGGATTTAGTTTTCTTGTACTTATTGACCAGCCTCCATAAAATCAGGACAATGAACACTTACACATTTGCACTGTACTGTGTATTCTAGGGATGGGAATTGGGGGTGTGCTTTTTAAGAATATCACTTCTACGTACTTTACATGTGGAGTGAGTGGGATTTTTTTGTTGTTGTTCCTTTCAGCTTGGAGTACCTTACTAGCAGGTGGTTCTGAACTGGATGCAGTAGAGAAAGGCTGTGGTCAGTGTGAAGTTGAGCAATGTGATGGAAGTGTGGGGTATGGAGGACACCCAGATGAACATGGAGAAACAACATTGGATGCTATGATTATGGATGGGTAAGGAATCCCACATCATTCCTAACAGGCATAGGGGTTCTGCTATCAATTGCACGCAGCTCCTCCATGTTCAGAATCTTCCCCATTCACCTGAAAGAGTAGACAGTTTTGTTCTTGCTGCCCTCTCCATTGAAAAGCTGATGGGAACCTATGAGCCCAGAAGGGCATGCGTGCATCTGAGACTGACTGGGCTGTTACTAGGGATGGGGTTTTTCTTCTAAATCTTTATGTCAGTCTTATCCACACATATATATTTTTTTCTAGTTTCTGTTTCACTCCTTGATCTCAAGAAGTACAGTTTCTTTACTGGCTTATTGCATTATTATGCACATTATTTAATTCACACTCCAGGGTCTCTAAAGTAACTAGCAGATAAACAAACATGTGGCAATGTATGTAACTGGCCCTGCTCTCATGAGAAGCTGTGCACTAGTAGCAATAGAGCGTATGCATTTGGTTTAGCAAGTCAGGTTTAGCTCTATTTTTTCCTATCACTAAATATGCTTTAAAAATGTCAGTTTAAAGAGAGCACATGCCCATCTGAACTGTAGTCTATAGCAGTGGTCCCCAGACTTTTTTACCCACAGACCACTTGCAAATTGTTGAGGCTGACCACTTAAATGGTTTTTTCTGCCTGCTGTAGCAATTGTACTGTGCTAGATGCTGTATGAATTTTAATTGTGTCTTTATTGCTGCTTTAATTTCCTGCATATTGCATTTTATTCTATTACAATGTGAATCCCATAGAATTCACATTATAATACATTAAAATGCAATATGAGAAATTAAAAGCAATTAGAATGCAGTTAAAAGTCAGAATGAATATTTAAAGCAATAGATGTGTTATATTCAACTACAAATCCACAGACATGCCACAAACCACCTGAATAAACCACTCATGTTCTGTGGACAGTCATTTGGGAATTCCCCATCTACAGGTTCAACCCATTTAGTCTAATGGGATTGCAAGTAACATTTGGACACCAATCTTCATTTTTATACTTATCTCATGCTTGTCCTTTAGATGTGGCATACATTATTCTTATACTCTGCATTTCTTGATTTAAACTTAAGACTCTGTTTGTCTGTTTTGCTTTTGGGTACATTTGTCTGTCTTTGGTCCAGTAATACTATGGAAGTTGGGGCAGTAGCTGATCTCAGACGCGTAAAAAATGCTATTGGCGTGGCACGGAAAGTGATAGAGCATACTCAGCACACCTTACTGGTTGGAGAGTCAGGTAACTTCCTTCATTTTGCTCCCTTGAAATTTTGGCTCCGCCATGCAGTGGTGGAAGGCAGCCGCCTCTGTCCAAATGAAGTTAAGTTGCCTTGCTGGTGTCAAGAACTTTGTCACGAGTTGGTTGTGACAAGTTACTTGATTTCATTAAGATACAGTGCAATGCTTTAGCGCAGGTGTGGGGAACCTCTGGCCCTCCAGATGTTGCTGAACGACCACTCCCATCATCCCTGGTCATGCTCGCTGGGGCTGGTGGGAACTGTCGTTCAGTAACATCTGGCAGGCCAAAGGTTCCCCCCACCTGCTTTAAATGGATAGGGGCCACTGTGCTCTGGTTTGACTTGATAGGTTATTTCTGCTCTCTTCATCATGCACTCCAGTCTCATTAAGTTCACAATTTTGTTTTGTTGGTTTATTAAATTTCTATACTGCCCTTCATCCGAGGATCACAGGGCGGTTTACAATATAAACACACACACACACACACACACACACACACACACACACACACTGGCAGCCAGTGCAGTTGAGCCAGGATTGGTGTTATATGCTCAAACCATCTTTCTATGGTTTTTATTGTACATTTTGAGCCATCTTCAGAGGCAGCCCCATGTATAACACATTGCAGTAACCTAACATAGAGGTGTGGTGCTTACTCCCAGTTTAGAAAGGTCCCTTCTCCTCAAGGTGGGCAGTTGAGGCATTTTTGTTCTGCCAAATTTTTGATGTGTTAATTTTATCAAATTATGGTTTTGTTTGTGTATTTATTATGACTGAATGCCCTCGTGTGTAGAAGAGGGTTTTTGGTTTTTTGTATACTTGGTTGGGGAACTCTTTTTGGAGAGCAAAGGTAAATGTTTTTTATAGATTAAAATAATAAATTTGTATTGAATTGCAGCCTTCAGTGAAAAAACTCATCACTGATTTTTGGAATTTTAGCATTAGAAATTATTCTTTAAAAAGTATAGCTGCAACAGATAGCTCAGAAAGGATTCTGTGAAAACACAAGCTGTGCAGTTATAAATATGATGTCCCCAAAAGCACTTCTCTCTTTTAAAAATTTATGGCAACAGGAAAAAAATAGAAACATACTTCAGATATATTAGATAAAAGCAACAGGATTTTTAAAAATAATAATACAGTCTAAAACATTCTACTTTTAATTCTTAAAGTTTCTATCTGACAGTGTAGTGGAATTTTGCTGTTTCTTATCACAAGTCTTTCATTTATGGATTCCATGTTGCAAATTGATATACTTCCTCTTAGTTTGCTATCAGTCTTCAGGATTCTGAAGCCCCCTGATATATGTTCTTGTTCTAGAAAATGAGAAAGGCATTTCTGTTGAGGACAAAATCATAATAATGTATACACTTGTATAGGGCAGTGACATGGGCTCTGACTGCTGTAATACAATATGAAAATGGTTTACAAGTGCCATGCCGTGTTTTCATAGGGATATTGATGAGCTGAAAAGTGTCCTCTTGCACGCTTGTTGAATTGCAAATACAGTTATATAGAAAAAGAAATTACTCTTTATTTTCTGTTCCATAAAGCCTCACTATTTGCGGAAAGCATGGGGTTTCCAAGTGAAGACCTGACTACACAGAGCTCCCTTTCAGTGTACTTACAGTGGCTTAATCGAAACTGTCAGCCAAACTTCTGGAAGGTAAAACACAACTTTTCCCCTTGTTTTTTTCTTGTTTTATAAACTTGGTGACTACATTGTATTAAATATTGTTCTGCAGTATGCCTCGTGCCAGCTGCAGGGAATTGTAAGCGGGGAGAGTGTGGTTGCACGCAAGTCCTGCTTACAGGCTTCCCATGGGCATCTGACTGGCCTTGGGCCTGATCCAGCAGGGCTCTTCTTATGTCTGCAACATTTCCAGCAGCCCACTCCATCATTGGAGCAAGCTACAGCGGAAGAGGAATGTGCTGTGTACCAAAGAACAAATGTATGTGAATGTGTACAAGAGAGTTCTCCGAAGGAGCTAGGCCTATGGAGCCAAATGGTCCTGTTGATCAGCTTTGAGGGTCCTGTTCTTCAGTTCTCTTTGGCCTCCAATCGAGCTAGACAGTGCTAACCAGTTCAGCTTGAATCCTTCCACTGCATCTGATGCTTGCTGTTTCATATTGTCTGCCTTGTAAGTGTTGGGCACCTGATAATCCTATCTGTGTCCCCCTGCCATCACTGGACAGTTGCTTTTAAGGAGTTTTATGTACCCAGGGACTTCCCCATGTTCTTCTATTCACCAGATCCTCTGTGGGAGCTAGGTTTAAGCTTCTTGGTTATCTTTCTCATATGTTTTCTGCTCTTCCCCCACCTTGGAACTTTTAAGCTTTGTGCCATGATTAGAATCCACACATTGTTATTTCATATAAACAAGCCCAAGCTCTGCCTGCTGTTTGCCTTATTTTTAAAATCCTAAACTATTTTTATGTTCTGGTTAAGATTTATTTTAAAAAAATTGCCTCTAGCCATGCATCTGGAATTCAGGTTCATTTTAAGATCTGCTCTGAGCCTGTTGTGATCCTGATAAGTGTGTAACCATTAAGTCTATGTGGACCCGTTCAGTATGGGCATTTTTTGTTTTTATGCTACCTCACTCAGATGTATAACTATGGGCACACTTAAAAAAACAAATCTCCAATTAGATATTTACTGTTAAGAAATATAATATGGAGCTCCAGTACTATTCATTTATCATTGAATCAGAAGCCTATTGTGATTTGTGTAAAATGTTTTCTTCCTTCGTTGTGCATGCAAATCCCACCCTCTTGACTATCTATACCCTTCAAGTTATCCCTGCAGAAAACACAGACTATGTAGAAACCTGTAGAGGGACCTCTGCACCCAAGACCATAGGAAGAAAGTTGGAAGATAACAACCTTTAAGGCTAGCAGGAGAAGTCTGTGTGGCAAAGTCTTTCTTAATTATTTTAACTTGAGCCACCAGCAAAAGGGGAAAAAACAGGGTGTGTTAGATTGTAAAGGGTGTTTGCAGGGCATGTGGAGTGGAAGTAGAGCAAGTTGAATTATCCGTCTTCAGCGCCTTTAGCCGTATGGTTTGTCTATAAAGTTGTCTCATCACAATCAGCATGGATGCTCATGAGGATTGAGAAAAACTGATCTTGAATTATAGCGGTAGGTGGTAAGACAAATTATCATGCTGCGTTTTTTGCACATAGAATGTTGATGTATTATTTCTCTGCTGGCTGTTCATTGTAGGAAACATTTGCAAATCACATAACGTGGAATCTGAGCAGGGCTGCGATAACTAGAGTGTTTTGAGTATTGAGTTACTCTAAATTGAGGGAGATGCTTTTGTCTGTTCATTGTTTAAAGCATCTGAGCTACAGTAATTTGCCTTCGATGAAACTTCTTCATCCTTGGCATATACAGAAATCTTACACTATTCTTTTAGGATGACGGGGGGGGGGGGAGGGATAGAAGACAGGTTTGTTTGAAATGCCAGTTTGTTTTTCTTCCAAGATTTTAATGTGAATGAAACTTTGATTGCAGAGTGTGACGCCAGATGCTTCAAAATCATGTGGCCCATACAAGCAGGCTGCAAAGTTCACCAAAGAAGAGCAGAGTGTATCAAAGAAAAGAATAGATGTTCATAACCATGACACTATTGGTATGCCTTCTTGACAGCAGCTTATTTCATGCTGCAATCCCTCAGCTTGTTTTAAATGAGTCACCAGAGAAACTGAATGTGAATAATTTTAAGCGGGCTATAAGGACACGATCCACTTAAGAACAAACTCTGCCTGATGCAGAGATAACATCAGTGATTCAGCAAGACATTTCCCAAGCGTGAAGCCCTAGCACCCCATAATGTTGAATGCTGTGCTGTCAGATTACACATAGTTGCCTCTCTGCTGGTTGTGGGGCTCTGCCCAGGAGGGTGAAACACTACTGCATGTAGAAGCCTTGAAATGAGAGTCTTGAAGCTGATCAGCAGCAGCCTTGGATCCACTTGATCCAAAAGTTCCTCGGGCTTCTCAGCTATGTCAATAATTTGCTGGCATAGTGAAAAATTTCACGGAAGCCACCTTCCACCTTGGCCAGCATGAGCTGGTAGGACTTGGGATGTGGAAGGACACCTGCCATGTTACCCCTCACCCCATTCTGTAAATCTCCCTACTTACTGTAGGAACCTGGCCTGTGCTTCTCTGTTTAGTTCTAGAATTAGGAATGTGACATTCTATTCGCCTTTCACCCTTCCTTCCCAGTCCCCGTACATTCATACATTCATTCTACAGATGTATGATGAGCATTTTACATGGTCTGATGAGGCAGAACTTGTGTTGGTAGAACATGATTATCATCCAAAATCGAAGCACCACTTTGTTTTCAAGCAGGAACAACTTAATTTACTCTTTTTGCTTGCTAGTTTGCTGAACGTGCATCAAGAGTGCTCCTTCTTGAAGAAGTAATTTCAAAATGAATTGATCATCCTAGTGGATATTCCAGAACTACATAGGTCTGGAAGTTTTTTTTTTTTCAAATAAGCTCAAGTTTCAACTTTACATTTTGCAAAATTAGCTGAAGATGGGATGGGGCGGGGGACGACAACTTTGTTTGGATCCAGCCTCTTCCATCTGCATAGTAATTAAATTTGGAATTTACAGAAGCACCTAAGTGACTTGGGAGCACAAGCCTCATTCCCAGACACTTAAGAGGCACTTCTAGTGTGATGATTAAATTCGTCACCACCAAGTAATTAGCATTTTAAAAATGTCAAATGCCAAGGTTCTTGCTAATCTAAAGGTGTGTCCTTATGAACTTTTGCACCTTGGCAGTTTGCCCAAGCCAGTGATTTATTTTTTGCTTCCCTTCTTTGGGAGGCAAAGAAAGAGCAAAACTGAACTAGGCTACTGTAGGCAGTTGCATTCTGTAGGCAAATTGCCTACTTGGCAAATAATTGAATGCAAACTTTGAACAATTGCTTCATGCTGTGTCAGTTGACACTATGTTTATGGCACTCGCTGCCTTCCAGTAGCCAGTGCGTGAATTATCTGGATGTGGGTCTATAAATTGACAATTAAGTGTCCTAAAATATGTATTTCCACACTTGAAGTGAATGATTATAATGCCTCCCATCTGAAGCCAGGAGCCAAAGCCCATGTTTCTGACTTAATCTGCAGAATTATGGGGCAGACTGTGATCCTGGTGATCATCTGTCTTCGCAGATGGAAGATTTTCTTTTCTTTAAACGTAATAGATGGACTCTAGGGTGGAGTTACTCCAAACGTAAAAGAGGCCTAAGGAAGGCAAACAGTTCCCAGGTGAAGTGGATCCCATCACCATCTAGTTGTGATAAGAAAAGGTTGTGGCGACTGTCGTATATTACCGGGAACTCTTAAAATAGGTGTGAGGGACCCCCAGCTTCCAAACCTGATTGCACCTGTCAGGCCTCCCATTTGGCCTTCAAGATCATTTTGGCCCAACTGCACACAGCTGCTGTCATATATGTTGTCAGTATGGGCCAGGTCAAAAGGTGGCTTAGCTGAAAAGGGGTTTGCAGGCCCAGCTGATCAGCAGTGCCTGCAAAGCACTATGTAAAACAATGGGCAAGATTGTGCTTTGTCCAAGGGTTACATTGCCCAGAATTTAGAAAGGGATTTCCTGAGCTCCAGCCACCTGTCAAATTTGGCCCATGAGGGGATGGGGAGATAAACATTGTAACTCACTGGTCAAACCCAGTTCCCCACTTTTGTCTGAAGGACAGCAGGAGTCTGGTCTGTTTTAAAGGGTGGTCGCCTAACATTACCCCTATCCAATTAACAAAATCATTAACCCATAATGCTGCTTCTAAATTCCCTACCTGTTTTCATTTGTAGGCATGATTGTGATTGGTCAGAATGGAAGCATTGCTGTGGGGACGTCAACAAATGGTGCAGACCACAAAATTCAGGGGTTAGTGTCACAATAAAATCAAGATTCCTTATTGATGAGATTTGTTTTCCTTTCTTGAGTGCTGCTTATAGTGAGCATGAATGTGTATGTGAACTGCTGCTGTAGTGGTAATGATTTTTATATCACTTGAAAGAAGGATTTTGTGGAAAAGTGGATATGTGAAGAACGCGTGAATTTGTTTTCTGTCTTCTTCCTCTTCAATTCTATCCGTTTTAGAGCTGTGCTTGATTATATTGGATGTTTAAGTTAAGTGTTGTCTTGATATTTCACCCCAGTTCAGCAAATATAATAATAAATATTGCTGTCCAAAAAGAATGGAATTGACGCATGGGAAAACAAAATCTGCTATTATATACTGAGACTTACCACTACATCTTCTTGAGGTGGTAAGCTTGTGTCTGGGCTGTACTGACTACAGTCAGGGACCCCCATGACTGAACTATCCTCTGCACAGAAAACTAAATGTTGGGAAGAAGCAATTCTAAGCTTTGTGCTTTTTGGTTTGGGGGCGTGTGTCTTATTTTTTTAATGGACAAGCATTCTGTCATGTATTTTGCAAGGGAAATTCGAGCTCATAGTAGGAGACTTAGACATGCGCAATTAAAGTGCTCTGTATAGAAAAGTGTGGAATGGACAAATGATTGGTGGGAAAGACACCTCAAAAGCAGATCAGGATGAATGGCCATTTGTCCTCATAAGCTCTTCTCCTAAAGAAACAGAAACAAATCTGAATGAATGCTCAGCAAATACCAGACATGGTGTAACCTCTGCCTAAGCTTTGTACGAGCAAATCTGGACAAATGCTTTGTCTGGCAGAGTCCTGAGATTGTAGCTCCAAGAGGTTTACTCCAGGCAGGCACAGGTTTACTGCCTCAATGAGAAACACGCCTCAGTGTGTCTTTGTTGCTAGCTTGTTTGTGACTCTGTTGGAACTATCGGAATCTTTCCCCATCACCCGGCTGTTTTCATTGGATTAACATCGCCTTCATCTTTCTTAGACGTGTGGGAGACTCTCCAATTGCTGGAGCTGGAGCATATGCAGATAGTACAGCTGGAGCTGCAGCTGCCACTGGAGATGGGGATTTGATGATGCGCTTCTTGCCCAGGTTTTTATATTCCATGAACTCTTTGGGTCTTTTGATACTGGGCTTAATTGTGAGACCACCCTGGGGTAAAAGATGGGCTTTGTACAGGCAAGCTCGGAAGTTGCACTGCACTGCTTCAAGCCTTGGGGGTGTCACTAGGCATGCCCATAGGTCCTTCATGACGTAGAAAAACAACATCATCTTGGGGATGTTGCTTAGCCTTGTCCAAACAGTAGTTATCAACCAGGATTTTGAACTAATAATAGCTATTTCACATTTCGTTTAAATATGCAGACTCTCTTTCTACATTCCTAGCCGTAGAAGAATTTTGAAGGGAACTAGTGTTCAGTTCATATTGCACCCAAGCATTAAGACCTGGACAAATTCATATTCCAAACCAGTTAATTATGGGTTTTTGATAACAGTTAGACCCAGGGGATTTGGTCACAGTGCATCACTAGGGCCAAATCAAACCATTCCAGAGATAGGGAACCACCACTAAAAAGGCCCTGTCTTGGTTTTTTATCCCGTATCAACATTGGGGCAAGTTCGTGCAAGATTCCCTTTTTGTTAGCAGAGGAGGGGTTTTTTAAGGTTCATTTCCTCCTCCTTGGCATACTATGCATACTATGACACTTGGAGAACCTTTGTGTTAATATCTGTTTGTTTATTTTCCTTAAATCAGCTATCAAGCCGTGGAGTATATGCGAACAGGAATGGATCCCACCATAGCCTGCCAGAAAGTTATTTCTAGAATTCAGAAATATGAGCCATACTTCTTTGGTGCCGTTATCTGTGCCAACGCAAGTGGAAGCTATGGTACGTCTACCTCAGAAGTTTGTTTCATGCAAATTTATAGGTTGGAATAAGTTCGCAACACTCGGATTCTGTGTTCGTTGCCCATTTGTCACATCAGCATGCAGGAAAGGGCTCAAAACAAAATATTCACTTTTTCGGGGGGGGGAAACAGAGTCTGAGACTCTGCTTCAAAGCAATCCAAGATCAGTCATGCTGGGTATCTCATTATTGAGCCCTTGGTTCACTATGCAGAATCATTTTGCTAATCGATATGACGTATTGGGTTAGGCTGCTCAGTGCACTTCTTTTATCTTTGATTTCCCACAGTTCTCCGTTTGAAAGATTAGAGACCCGTGGACTCATTACATTTGCCAGTATTAAGATATAAATTGAAACAAAATATACTAAACTTGGAATTATATTTTAGGTTGTGAAGGCCATAGTGCTAGCTGGAGACTCTTTCGTCTTCAAGAGTTTAAAAAAAGTGAAGGAAAGATGACTTTTTTTAAAGAAAGCGCAATGCTGGGTTAATTAAGGCTATAAAAGAACAATTGCGCAATTGTAGTTGAATTAATAGTGGGATCCTTAGATGTTAAAAGCACAAGGAGACAGATTAATGCGCCTCTCATAGTTTGTTCTCTCTTTATTCTCTTATCTCTCCATTTCCTGACACAGGTGCTGCCTGCAATAAAGTTTCAGGATTCACACAGTTTCACTTTATGGCTTCTAATCCCACTTTGAAGCAACCATCTGAGCAAATAATAGACTGCATTTAACACAGCCCCCCCCCCAAACTTAAAGAGTTCACTGGAAGAAACGAAGAAGACAAAATTAAACTTTTGCCATTGCTGTTTTTTACAAAAATTAGTTGTGCACACAACTTCCCCATAAATTATAGCGCAGAGGGGTTACTGATTTGTGCCAAGGAGCCTTTATTCTCTGTCTTAAGACTGTAATCTTTTGGCCCTTGGGAGGAGAGGGGGGCAGAGAGTGCCAGATCTCCACCCCCTAGGCTTTCCTGCTGCCCTACTGACATCAAAGAGAGAGCAGGAGCCATCGCTGTCTCGTCCTCCTGACATGCTCCCAGAATGGGAAGATTTCCCCTCAAGATTTCTCATTAATTTCCTCCTTGTTATTTTCTATAGGAGGGTAAAAGTTCCAAACCAAATAAGGTAAAAGGATAGAGGAGGGTTTCCGTGAGCCTAGCAGGAAACTGAATTTTAGGTGGCCTTCACTCCCCCGCCCCTAAAATTTAAGATTGTAGCCTTAATTTTGCTTTCTCGTATTGCTGACCCTTAAGTAAATTTAAACAGAATAAGCCGAGTAAAGAAATTCACTCAAATATATGCTGAGATATTTCTCAACTTCAACCAAAGTGGTCGACCATTTCTGGGAGAGAAGAAATGAATGTGTCAAGCCAAGCCACTTTGAACAAACCCTACCACAAAGCTGACTTCTGTTTTGAAAGATCCACCGGAGTTCTCTTTCCTATCTCTGGATGAGGAATAGCCCTGCCAGGACACTTCTGAATATGCCCCTTCTGCCAGAAACAGCTGGAAATGCAGCTTCAAGAATGGAGGAGAAATGCAACAGGACAGGATTTCAATATTAGCTATTGTGGGGGGAGGCGGGGCGTAAATACTTTCCCCCCGCTATGCACTGCTACATTCCACCTGATGTAAAAGAAACCACCTATCAAATATACAGCATGAGCACTCAGGCCGTATGAGTCCTGGAAGGACTGTTGGTTATGTTAGTTGAGTATTGACATTTTCCCCATAAACACATTCATTTTTAAGGACATTTTTTAAAATGTACAAATCCAGTCATTCCTTCTAACGATTTACAAAATAATATTCCCCTTTTTACATGCTGGAGCTGCCGAGCTGCCACCCTGCTCTTGAATTTGGAGTACCGTATTTTTTGCTCTATAAGACTCACTTTTTCCCTCCTAAAAAGTAAGGGGAAATGTGTGTGCGTCTTATGGAGCGAATGCAGGCTGTGCAGCTATCCCAGAAGCCAGAACAGCAAGAGGGATTGTTGCTTTCACTGCGTAGCAATCCCTCTTGCTGTTCTGGCTTCTGAGATTCAGAATATTTTTTTTCTTGTTTTCCTCCTCCAATAGGTGCCTCTTGTGGTCTGGTGCATCTTATAGAGTGAAAAATACGGTAGTTGTTTTTTTTAAAAAAACCAACAACGCACCTCCAAATGTGTTATAATCAGCTACTACTTCCATGCCCTTTCTTGCTGCTAACAACAACAATGATAAAAAAATTATTATTATTTATACCCCACCCCACCTGGCTGGGTTTCCCCAGCCACTCTGCTAACTTCTGGAGCTCTGCTGTAAAGCTCGCTTAGGCCAGTTACTATCAGTCAACCTAACCTAACTTTCCTTTTGTTGCCAAGCCGATAAAGTGGGATCCGCCTTGTGAATGTTGCCCTGTGTACGCCCCCCCCCCAAAAAAAGATGGATACAAGTAGCTGCTAATAAAAGTCCTTCCTTGGACCCCTGTAAATTCCTTCCTAATTTGCAATATCTCTGCAAAATGCTTCCCACCAGATCAGTGGCATAGCGTGGGGGGTGCAGGGGGGGCCGGCCGCACCGGGCGCAACATCTGGGGTTAGGGCAAATCCATGGGTTAGGGGGCGCAAATCCACAGGTTAGGGGGCGCAAATTACTTGCCTTGCCCTGGGTGCTGACAACCCACCACTGCCCCAGATCTGTTTCCAGATCATTTCAGCCATAGGGCCAAAATCAAGAGCTTAGTTTCCAAAACTGTGTCCTAGACCTGCTGCGTTTGGGTTACAACCAAGATCAGTATTAATGCCGTCTTTGCCTTGGTGCAAGATTAACTTGCTGGACCCAAGTGTCACGCTTCTCATTTCACACCTTTCATAATAATAATAATAATAAATAGTTTTTATTTATACCCCGCCCTCCTCAGCCAAGGCCGGGCTCAGTAGTCTGGAACCTACAACCTGTTTTACTCAACCGGACCAGGTAAGAGATTTTGCCTATCCGCTGGTCCCTGAGACAAGAGCCAATGACAATACTTGAATGGCACTGATAAGGCTTCTACTTCTCCATCTTGATTTACTCTTGAAGGACAGACCCACAGGCGCTGTGCTAAACATAGGAAGCTACTTTGTACTGAGACCGTTGGTCCATTTTCACATGCTGGCTGGCAGCAGCTTGCCAGGGTTTCAGACAGGAATGTTCCCCAACCCTACATGGAGATGTCTGGGATGATCCTGGGACCTTCTGCATGCAAAGCAGATGCCCTTCCACTGAGCCATGGACCTTCCCAAAGCACCATTAATCCCAACATCCTTTTGGACCACTTTCCAGTTCAGGTCCAGTTTCTGGAACCTAGACTTTCCTTTTTCCTTTTTTATTACCAGTGTTAACTAAATTGTTTCGGTGAAGCTCATTAAGCTATTGCATCTGTATTTTGGAGATGTTTTCCTTTGGTGCGGCTTTGTGGAACATAACATTTGATTGGGATCGTGCTTTTAAAACAACAAGGGGCTCCTGAAGCAGGTCTTCAGACAAAATAAAACATTCTCTTTTTGTGTGTTTTGCAAGAGAAGGTCTTACCTGTTTGTTAAAATTAAGTGTTTAGGTTGATAAGGACATACTAGTCTGAGGACATACTATTCATGAGACTGAATTCGGATTGTCTCATTGGATTCTAATGTTTCTAAAGCCATTTTAAAAATAAAAATACATACGTGTTTCTTTGGGGTCTTACACTTCTCTCACTGGAAGCAAAAGGTGTATTCTCTGGAGGCTAGGACCCGAACCAATGGCTTCAAGTTACAAGAAAGGAGATTCCGACTAAACATTAGGAAGAACTTTCTAACAGTAAGAGCTGTTCAACAATGGAACAGACTCCCATGAGAGGTGGTAGATTCTTCTTCCTTGGATGGTTTTAAACAGAGGTTGGATGGCCCTCTCTCATATATGCTCTTGTTGAGATTCCTGCATTGCAGAGGGCTGGACTAGAGTCTCTTCCAGCTCTATTAATTATAAGGATGGACCTTAATAGGCTTTAGCCTTTTCTTATGATTTTCCCCCTACAGCAGTCTTAACAATCCTGTAGCGTGCATATCTTCTTAGAAGTAAGCCTCATTAAGTTCAACTGACTACCAGCTAACTGATTATAGGATTGCAGCCTAAGTAAAATTTGCAGAGACAATCATTTTAATGATTCCGAATTTCATTTTATCTTGTGTGGAATGGCAGGGAGAGGGTTTCTTTGCAACATTAAAAGGGGGGTAAATGGAAGCTGTCCTTTGTATTTGGATGAATTATTCTTCATGTATGTTTTGAGGATGAGAATCTCCTTTTAAGATTGCTCAAATAAGTACTTCTGAAGATCCCAGAGTCAGTGAATCTAAAACATTCCATATACCCCCTGCTTTGGAACAACCCAAATTATGATATTCCTTAATAGACTCTGTCCTAATAGCTTTGACATACTGTGCCCAATGAAGATAATTTCTCCTTATCACCATTATTAATTAGAACGTGAGACGTTAGCTGCAGTGTGGTTTAGGGAACCAATTAAAGGACAATAAGGATGGCAAGTGAAGTTGTAATTTTATTTGACTACTAAAGTATTAGCAACTGTATTGACTGAATTAGCTAGAACTAGTAATTTTGTCCTTCCGAGTGGGGTAAAATAAACTTTGGGTACTCAGCTTACATTGTAGACTGCTATGCAGAAGTAGACTGCCTAGGGACAATCTCACTTCTGTGATAGTAAACAGTGACCCCATGTGAAATAGTCATGCCAGGCAAGGAATTGTACCCCGGGTTCTCCCGGTCTTCATTTGACACTCTCATGCGGAATAGTCTGGTTGCCTGGACGAGTCTGCTTCAAATATTATTGACATGAAGAGGCCTCCACACAATCAAGGGGCAGCAAGACCACACTGCTGGCATTGCCTCTGAGGTTTCATGGCTTTCTAAGTGTAGACATCTGCTTAGGAAGAGCTGCCCTATGTAGATCTCTCTGTGTGTAGGCTTCCCCTGGAAGCTGGAATCCTCAGCATTCAGGATTCCAACTCCAAAGAAAGTCTCTGTACATTGGCTTGTGCAGATGTCTACAGCTAGTTCATGGATGATGAGGACAATTGTTCATCCTATACTTTTCTGTTCTCTCCCCCATCAATTTACTAATCACAAGAAGTCTGGGTCTTTATGCTAGAGTGACAAGAGTGCTTTAATCTTCTCTAATTCTGCAAACCTAAAGTTCTGGTATGTACTTGAACCTCCCCTGCAAAATAGTGAAAGTCTGAAGGCATCCTCCGGGAGAGTTCCTATACCTTTGTTGTGTAATGATGGAAGAGTTCCATCCGCCATATCTTATGTCATTCCGCTGCAATTCTCCACAGCTCTAGGTAAATGAACCTTCTCAGGGTCTAGACCTGCCAGCCACAATTCACGTGAAAACAATGGAGTTACATGACTAACTGGAAATTAGCATTGCCTCCCACCTCTGATTGCAGGAAGCTTTTCTAACTGTCTAACACTCTACATGGCCTCTTCAGAATTAATAGCAACTTCTTATTAACATAGTTTGTCCTGCACCAGACATGTCAAAAGTAAGGACTGCAAGATCTCAAGTCCAAAACATCACTTTTATTGTTCCTAATAAGCTGGAAGAGTTTTCACAGGTTGTCAATTTGCCTGCATAGATTGGGCTTATGAGTACATGACATGCTCATCTACGACATGCCTACCTACATTCATATAATGGTACAAAATCCAAAAACATCTGTTGGTCTACTTCTGTCTATGATGGTTGCATTACTTCCATCCAGACCAGCGGCTGGAGAAAGCAAATTTAATTTGCTTGGAAACAGCAAAAGAAAATAGAATCCTGAAAAGGAAAACAAAAGAAATGCTCCTTAACTAAGCTCTTGTATTTGAAGCAGTCATTTTATACACATCAACAAGCACTGTAAAGACCAAAGAAGAAAACTGTCATATTTCATGCCAAAGATGTCTTGTCTCTAGCAGAGATCCCTACTGTTCTGATAGCCATTGTTAAAATTATATACTGAACCCCTACAGTGATGTCCCACTCCAGGGGGAATAAATCAAAGGTCAGCTATACAGAAAACAAGACACTGCTCTCATTAAATAAGGGTGAAAATGGCAACGGCATCACCTTTCAAATGTTCAAGCTGGCACTACTTAACATAGGACTAATCTGCTTCTCACTCTGGTTGCTTGGTCATTGGGATTTAAAAACAAAACAAAAGCAGGCCTTTAGTAAGTAAGTGCATAGTATGGTAAATTAA